TGCCTGAACTGCGTTATAAATTAATTGTGTCACAACGCCTTTTTCAACACTACCGAGCGCAACGCTTATAATTTTATTTTCAATTGGTATCAGAGCGGGTCTGCTCAAGTTACTAGCAGGATCCAAATGGAATTCCCAAGAGAAGGTCTTTCAAACAATAGACCACCGGCTCTACTTGGCACAAACTTCTCCTACTGGAAAGCTCGAATGCAGATATACATTTTAGCACAAGGAGAAGGCGTCTGGAATGCAATAGAAAACGAATGGAAAACTCCAGTCGATGACAAAGGGAATGCAAAACCTAGAATTGAATGGAGTGAAGAGGAGAGAACTGAATATGACTTCAACTCAAAGGCTATGAATGCAATATATGGAGCAGTAAGCGAAGACACATTCAAACTAATTGCATCAACTCGCATAGCTAAAACTCCGTGGAGTATATTGTGCGATCATCATGAGGGAAACTCATCCGTGAGACAATCTAAGCTACAGATGATACAAACAGAATTGAAAATCTAAAAATGGAAGAAGAAGAAGAAGAAAGCATCACCCAATTCAGTGCCAGAGTTTTAAGTATATCTGGAGATGCATTCAACCTAGGCGAACCTATACCTGAACATAAGATCGTCAAAAAGGTACTACGCTCGCTACCTGGAAGATTCCTAATAAAAGTCACTGCTATTCAAGAAAATAAAGATCCGAATACATACAGACTTAGTGATCTAATGGGAAATCTTCAAACCTATAAACTTGAGATGCTACAAAATCAGAAAAACAATGGCAAAGGAATAGCATTACAGTCCAAACAAGAAGAGAACTCAGAAACTGATTCAGAAACCATGGAACAGTCAATTGCACTATTGACAAAGAATTTTAATCGAGTTCTCAAAAAGTTTAACAAGTTCAGGAATAAAAATTCCTCGAACAACCAAGGAAATTCCATAGTCAATCAAAAACCATCCAATCCAAAACGAAGAGATAATACAATTACGGAAGGGATACAATGCTATGAATGTAAAGGTTTTGGACACATCCAATCAGAATGTGCCACATACTTGAAAAGGAAAAATAAAACATATATAACAACCCTGAGCGATGACTCAGATAGTGTAGAAGATGACAGCAACAGAAACTTCGTAGCCTTCACCGCTAGCCATGAAAGCAACAATAGTGATGACATGCAAGAGTTACTAGAGGCATACACTCAACTAAATGCCAAATGGGAGCAAATCATCAAGAAAAATTTAGAACTCATGGAAGATAATCATTATTTAAAAAATGAAAAAGAACGAGTAGAAAAACAATACAAGAAGCTCAAAACGAACTATTAGACTTCAAAAACAAAGAAGCTAAACTACTACAAGAAATCAAGGAGCTTACCGAAAGACCCAGGACTCCAAGTACAGACATTAGTGAGAATCATCAAACCGAGACACAGGAAGTGTCGCAACAGCACTTCCGACACCGAAGAAGAATAAAGTGCTACTATTGCCACAAACTAGGACACATCAAAGCACACTGCTACAAAAGACAAAATGATTTTTATTACAGGTAAAACAACAGAGTATGGCCATGACATAACAGAAATAATAGCAAGAAAATCTGGGTAAGAAAAGATCAAATTGTTGCGTATACCTCCAAAACAAACAAAGAGCAAGATATATGGTATTTTGACAGCGGATGCTCCAGGCATATGACTGGAAATCCAGAAAATTTAGAGAATATACAATATAAAAATGAAAGATATGTAACCTTTGGAGATGGAGGAAAAGGGAAAGTTATCGCAAATGGAACCCTGAACGTACATGGGCTGCCAAAACTGTCAAAAGTCTTCTTAGTACAAGGGTTAAAAGCAAATCTGATTAGTATAAGCCAACTATGTGAAGATGAACTTAAAGTGGAATTTTCAAAAGATAGTTGCAATGTCCTCAATCAAAATCATGAATGTGTTATGATCGGAAGAAAATCCACAAATAAATGCTACACATGGGACGGTGATCTAACCTGCTTACAGACAACCGTCAATCAAACACAATTATGGCACCAACGGATGGGTCACATAAACTTTCATGACATGAAAAAGGGTTTAAAGAAGGGAGTCTATCAAGGAGTTCCAACACTTGACATAGACGAAAACAAAAAATGTGATGCATGTCTTGAAAACAAAATAACACGAACAACCCACAAGAAAAGCTCAGGAATACACACCTCTAGAATCCTAGAACTACTCCACATGGACCTATTTGGGCCAACTCAGACAGAAAGCATAGGAGGAAAGAGATATGTCTATGTAACAGTCGATGACTATTCACGATTCACATGGGTAAACTTTCTTAGAGAAAAATCTGAAGCATTCACAATATTCAAAACTCTTGTTATCAAAATCCAGAATGAAAAGGATGGAAGAATAGGAAAAATCATTCGTCTAAGAAGTGATCATGGAAGGGAGTTCGAAAATTCAAAATTCAAAGAATACTGCACAGAAAATGGGATTCATCATGAGTTCTCCGCACCAAAGACACCCCAACAGAATGGAGTAGTCGAACGAAAAAATTGAACTATTCAAGAAATGGCAAGGGTTCTTTTAAATCACAAGAGACTTCCATCAAAATTCTGGGCAGAAGCAGTTAACACAGCTTGCTACCTAGTAAACCGAGTATTCATACGAAAAGAAATCAACATGACACCATATCAAATCTGGAAAGGAAAAACACCAAATTTAAAACACACACATGTGTTTGGAAGCAAATGCTATATTCTAAAAGATAGAGAACCATTGGGAAAATTTAACATAAAAGGAGATGAAGGGATTTTCCTAGGTTACTCCTCGAACAGCAGGGCATATCGAGTATTTAATCTTAGAACAAACACTGTCATGGAATCTATAAATGTTGTGGTCAATGACACAATATCAGAAGACTCTCCCAACAGTGATGAAGAAATAACTGTTGTTGAAACAACAGTTCCAACATCACAGAATCAGAAGTCTGAAACAGAAATAACGGAGAAAGAAGAAGCTAAAGATCCTAAGGAAGTTGAGGAAACCCTCACTACTGATGAGACCAGGATACAGAAAAATCATCCAGTAGAAAACATCATAGGAGGACTCAATGAAGGAATCAAAACAAGAAGAAAGAAACGAGACTATAGGAAAATGGAAGAAGGAGACAACGACTACTGCTACACCTCAAAAATCGAACCCAAAAACATCACGGAAGCCTTAAAAGATGAATTTTGGGTGGAAGCCATGCACGAAGAATTACAACAGTTTGAAAGAAACAATGTCTGGCAGTTAGTCCCTAAACCTGAAAACACCAATATCATAGGAACAAAATGGATCTACAAGAATAAGACAGATGAACAAGGAAACATTGTACGAAATAAAGCCCGACTGGAAGCACAAGGATACACCCAAGTTGAAGGAACAGATTTTGAGGAAACATTTGCTCCAGTAGCTAGAATTGAATCAATCCGGCTTCTCATAGCAGTAGCCTGCATACTCAAAATAAAGCTCTATCAAATGGACGTGAAAACGGCATTCTTAAATGGTAATCTAAAAGAAGAAGTCTATGTTGCTCAACCAAAAGGGTTTGAAGACCCCCATTTTCCACAGAGTGTATTTAAACTCAACAAAGCACTATACGGTCTAAAACAAGCACCACGGGCTTGGTACGAACGTCTCACTGAATTCCTAGTCAAAAAGGGTTACAAAAGAGGTAGCGTTGACAAAACTCTATTTGTCAAAAACTATGGTCAAGACATAGTCATTGCTCAAATCTATGTTGATGACATAGTTTTTGGGTCAACACTTGAACACCACAAAAACCAATTCATCACTAACATGAAAGGTGAGTTTGAGATGAACATAGTTGGTGAACTAACCTACTTTCTAGGTCTACAAATCAAACAACAAGACAGTGGGATCTTCATATCACAAAGCAAATATGCAAAAAAATCTAGTTAAGAGATTTGGACTAGAAAAGAGCAAAGTTGTCAGAACACCAGTTCCAACATCAGAAAGAATCTCAAAAGATATAGAAGGAAAACAAGTTGAGCAAACCCTATATCGAAGTATGATAGGTGGCCTACTATATCTAACTGCTAGTAGACCAGATCTAAGCTTTGGAGTAGGAATATGTGCAAGATATCAAGCAAACCCTACATAACAACATTTAAAAGCAGTCAAAAGGGTAATTAAATATGTTAAAGGAACTACCGAATTAGGAATATGGTATTCTTTCGATACCAATCATCACCTATCAGCCTATTGCGATGCCGATTGGGCAGGAAACATAGATGACAGAAAAAAACACCTCAGGAGGTTGTTTCTTCCTAGGAACAAATCTTGTATCTTGGATAAGCAAAAAACAAAGTTCTATATCATTATCAATAGCAGAAGCAGAATATATTGCAGCTGGAAGTTGTTGCACACAACTACTTTGGATGAAACAAATGCTAGAAGATTATGGAATACATCAAACAACTATGACCATGCACTGCGATAACAAAAGTGCAATAGACATCTCCAAAAACCCAGTACAACACTCAAGAACAAAACACATCGACATCAGGCATCACTTTATAAGGGAGTTAGTAGAAGATAAAATCATCAATCTCATGCATATCAGTACAGAAAAACAACTAGCAGATATCCTAACAAAAGCTCTTGACGGGAACAGATTTGCAAAATTAAGGGCCGAAATCGGATTATGCCATTTACAATAAAAAGGGGAAGGGTGGGCCGTACATGCAAACATCTTATGGCCCAAAACCTTTAGACTTGTTCCTTTAAGAAAATAAGCTCCATAACCCGATCCGGTGGGCCGTACATGCAAACATCTTATGGCCCAAAACCTTTAGACTTGTTCCTTTAAGAAAATAAGCTCCATAACCCGATCCACCATTTGTTTATTTAGAAAAAAAAAAGGCTCATAACAAGGTCGTCTTCTACCTTACGACCATCTTTACCACAATCATCAAAGCTCCACACAAGATCAGACATGGTGAGAACACGAAACCAAGCAAAAGGGAAATTACCTCGAAGAGGCCCTGCACCACATTACTCCGGCTCTGGAATCCTCTCCAACCCAGTCCACATCGACGATGATGACACCTCAAGAATCATCATGGACCCCGTCCCCATCTCACGAGTGCCATTCCAGACCATCCAAGAACACCAATCTGCATCTTCAGGTAATCCGGAACTCACTATCGATCTATTTGGAAAAACCCTAGATCATGTGCCCAATTTGGGGAAAAACCCTGAATCAAACACAGGTGTTCTAGGTCACGGTCAAGAACCATGTCCTTCTTCCCTCGACATCCCTGAAAAAGACCTAAACAGGTCATCAGGACAAAATCACGAAACAGAGGAAACACATTATCAGGAAATAGAAGAATCACACAGTCTAGAACCAAACAAAAAGAGACTAAAAAGGACAGACCCATATGAAGGTGGTGATCCTAGAGCCAAACGGCCAGATGATTTCCCAATCAGAGCCGGGCCTCCTCAAAGACAACCCACTAACCCCCCACCAAGATTACCCAAATCCAAAATAGCAATCAAAAGGGGAAGTGAACCAGAGGAAGATCTGAGCTGGGCTTCGGAAGAACACCCAGATAATGATGTTGAAAATATTGTTCAAGAAAAGAGAAAACCTACTAGAAAAGGAAAGCAAAAGAAAAAGGGCAAAGGAAAGGTGTCACCAGCAGATGATCAGTCTACCCTACCAAAACCACACAGCACAAAATTTTTGAGTCAACAATCAGCAAATCTGTGGAGCAAGGTTATTGAAAGAAAGATTCTTAGTCAAAAATTACTTTTGATAGACAAACTGAACAAACATGATCAAATCCGAGAAATCTTGACAAAAAATCACCTACTTGGTTCTGTCACAAACATAGAAGCCTATGATGAACAGGTTGTTCAAGAATTCTACAGTAATCTAACCAAAGACATCACCATCTCCACAAGTCCAATGTATGGAAAAATATATCTAAGGGGAAAATACTATGAATTCAATCCGGATATCATCAACAACCACATCAACACCACTGAAGGAGAGGAAAGAATACTCCTTGCAAATGATGAAGTCAATCAAGAACTCACAGCAGGGAATGTGAATCTGGAGAAAAACAAAATTAAGGCTGCATCACTAACAAGCAAATATGCCGTATTACAGAAAATCGCACTGGCAAATTGGATGCCCTCATTACATGAGTCAACACTCAAAAGAAGCCTTGCAGACCTATTATATAAGATTGGAAAAGGGATCAAAGTTGACCTTGGAAATCTCATCTACACACAGGTCACAAACCTGGCAGAAAACAAAGGAACCAAAGCTTGTCTTATATTTCCAAACCTCATATGTTCTGTCCTAGCAAAACAAGGACTCAAGATTCACAAGCCAACGTCTCAAGTAAAAATCCTCAGCACAACCATAAAATAAACCAAAGGGGGGCACCAAAATGATCTCAAAACCTTGGGACCAAAAGACAAACCAACAGATCAGCAGACTCTAATCAATTACTTTGAGAAAAGATTGTTTGAGCTAGAGGCTTCTGAGAAACATGTATTGAGGAAACAAATGGAAATCAAAGAAGAAAAAATTGAAGTACAACAATGGCTGAAAGCCCTGAAATTAGAAAGTAATGAAAATGAAGAAAATGAAGAAGGTGATCAAGAACCTGAAGATGACCAAGAAAATGAAGAAAATGAAGAAAATGAAGAAGAAGATTTTCAAGAACCTGAAGCTGAAAGTAGTGAAAACTCCACCTGAACATCTTCAAACATTTAGCAAAAAAGGGGGTGAGTTAGTATCTTGGTAGGATATGTTATCTTTGGTAAGATCTGTTTCAAGATGGATGGTATGATCCCTTTGGTATCTTTTTGGTAGGATTTGTCTCAAGATGGATGGTATGATCTTTTTGATATCTTTTTGGTATGATCTGAATTGAATGATCTGTAATGAATCGAAACATGTGTATGGGGCATGTAAATTCAGATTGTATGGAAGTTTCTCCTTTTAAGAGACTGTTTGGCAGTTTTCTTTCTGTTGGACTGTTTATCAGTTTTGGCAGTTTATCCTTTGAGGATAAAAAATATCCAAACTGTCACTATAAATGATCTGGCATTTTTCTTTACAGCTACCATGTGGAAAGATACTGACAAAAGGGGTAGATTTATTTCTTTCACCAGCATACTACATTATGCTATAGCTACACAAGACCTCTTATAAAGGGACAACAGCAAAAGCAGAGATTGAATCAAGGGGGAGTCTTCTCAACAAAAGATCATCACATTCCTCCTTATTATGAAAGAGCTAAACAGAACAACAAAACCAAGATCAAACTAATGGAGAGACACACCAGGAATCAAGACATTCTAAAAGGTCAAGGTTTTTGCAAAAGTTTGACAAAGGGGGAGATTGTTGACTTCAAATGGATTGTCAAATGTTGGGCGCAAAAACCTAATTCCCAATTCCAGTAGGTGTCACAGTCCAAATATGAATAGGATTAATAAATCTATTCATACACAAACTAAGCCATTCCTAGTCCTATAAAAAGCAGCCACTCTCAATCACAAAGATCACGCTTTCAACATCTAATTGTGAGCACGAGAGTCATTGAGAATAGATACCCAAATCCCCTTGAAAAGTAGTACGAGTGTTTAGGTCACAATAGTTTGATAGGATTTCATATTGTGTAATCCCCGTTCCCTAAACCAAAGCGTACTTTAAATATTAAGCTTTTTGTGGATTTAGGCAAATTCTCAATTTGAGAAGTGCCTCGCAGATTAGGGTTGCTTGCCCGAACTGCGTTATAAATTAATTTTGTCACAACACCTTTTTCAACACTACCGAGCGCAACGCTTATAATTTTATTTTCAATTTTAAAAATATTTAGATTGATATACAATTGTATAAATTATAACATCGAATATTATATAATATAATTGAAGAATTGAGTTACACCGATTATGTTTTCTGATGTTATCAATGCTTGAATTCGAGTAAATAATTTCTCAATTAATAGCTAACGTGTAGATATACGCATTCGTTGCTGCAACTCTAGAGATTTTATATATCAGTGTTTATAATTTGTATTAATTGGGCTAATTAGCTCGTTGTCTGGCAACTCAGTTATAGAAATTATTTATACGAAAGTTATATTTTCTATGTAGATATATAGCAAGTTTGTCATCTTTGTATAAAAAAAAAAAAAACATAATATCAATGGCTTGAATTATACATTATTGAAAATCTCTTTGTAGACGACATTGGTAGTAGTAACAGAATTTTATCCATCCTCGTCGAGAGTTAAAACAATCAGATCATCAGGATGGGTGACTCGGGAAAAAGTCACATACAATTAATCGTGATTAAAGACTGGTTTTTTCAGTAATAACTCAACGTGAGTTAGTGTTTGACCCTGACTTTTGTTGATAGTCATGGCATATGCGAACATCAACGTGAATTGTTTTCGTTAGAACTTGAAGGGCAATTTCGTATCAGGAGGGTGAAAGACATTTTAATTGAAGATTTTACTTTTATTAATAGTATAGATATAGATTGGTGTAAATAATAATTAATAAATTATTATTTCCTTATAAAAGTACATAGAATTTCAAATGAATTTTCTCATTTATTACACAGAATTTGTTTCTGTTATTCTCACAATTAGAATGGTTTAATTATTCTCAGAATTTGATAACCATTTTCCATTTTTAAGTACATATTAATTTTAATTTGTGATACAAATTCATTAGATATTAGTTAATTTTCATATAAAATTTTGTTACCAATTAAGCTTTATTGATTTTTTTTTACCAATTAATTAATATTCATATTAATTTGGACGGGAATGTTGAAGATGAGGATTTGACTTTTATTAATAGTATAAATTGGTGTAAATAATAATTAATAGATTATTATTTCTTTATAAAATTACGCAGAATTTCAAACGAATTTTCTCATTTGTTACGCATAATTTGTATCCATTATTTTTACAATTATAATAATTTAATTATTCTCAAATTTAGTAACCATTTTCTATTTTTATGTACATATTGACTTTAATCTGTGGTAATAATTCATTAGATATTAGTTAATTTTCATATAAAATTTTGTTACCAATTAAGCTTTATTAATTTTTTATTAATTAATTAATATTCATATTAATTTGGGCTGGAATGTTGTAAAGGATGATTTTACTTTTATTAAAGTCATTTATTAAGGAAATTAAAAGAAATTAAAGTAAATCTACTCATGTTATATTTCTTTGTAATTGTATATTAATTTCATTTTGAAATCATTGGTTCACATATTTGAATTATTTATTTTTTTTCTTTAATTATTCTTGTTGTAAACATAAATGATATTGCAATAATTAATTTAAGATATTTATCAAATTGTATTTTTTTAAATATAAAATTTTCTCATGTTTAGGGATTAAAAAATATTTTAAAATTATTTTTTATTAGTAAGTATTTTTATTTTTAAAATATTTTTCAGCAACCCAAACACTCCCTTAGTCTCTAATAAAAAACTGAAAAATAAAAGTCATTTCATTAAAAAAATTAAATCTAATTAAAGTAAATCTAATCATACTATATTTATTTATAACTGTATATTAATTTCATTTTGAAATCATTGGTTCACCTCTTTAAATTATTTATTTTTTTCTTTAACTATTATAAACAGAAATTACGATATTTATCGAATTGTATTTTTTAAAAAAAATATAACATTTACACATGTTATGAGGGGTTAAAAAATATTTTAAAATTATTTTTTATTAGTATGTATTTTTATTTTAAAAGATATTCCAGCAATCCAAACACTCACTTAGCATCTCATAAAAAAACTGATAAAGAAAAGTCATTTCATTAAGAAAATTAAAACTAATTAAAGTAAAATCTAATCATGCTATATTTATTTGTAACTGTATATTAATTTCATTTTGAAATCATTGGTTCACATATTTAATTTTTTAATTATTATAATTTATAAATAGAAATGATATTGTACTAATTAATTTATGATACTTATCAAATTGTATTTTTAAAAAATATAAGATTTACACATGTTATGAGGGGTTAAAAATATTTTAAAATTATTTTTTATTCGTAAGTATTTAAAAAAAAAAAATCAGCAACTCAAACACTCCCTTAGTCCCCCATAAAAAACTGATAAAGAAAAGTCATATTATCAATGAAATTAAAACTAATTAAAGTAAATAAAATCAAGCTATATTTATTTGTAACTATATATTAATTTCATTTTGAAATCATTGGTTCACATATTTGAATTATTTATTTTTTTTATTTAATTATTATGAACATAAATGATATTGTACTAATTAATTTATGATATTTATCAAATTGTATTTTTTAAAATATAGTGTTTTACCCGTGCATTGCACGAAATTTTTATTATTATTATGAATTTAAAATAATAATAGAAAAAATAAAAAGATGTTAAAATGTACAATATAATAATATAGTTGAACTTTTATATATTTGGTCAAATATTTGTTTTCATAACATACAAAATTATAATTTAAATTTTGTATGGTTAATATAATCTCTAATCATGTACATATTTAGATAAATTTATAGAAAAAAAATCATATAATTAAGTTGATTTATTTCTAATTGTATTTCAGATATGTTATAATTCTAAAAATATGAATAATAGTAACTAAAAGAATTATACTTAGAAATCAATAAAAAATATAAATTCTAAATTTTGTATCAATAAAAACTCTAATCGGACGCATATCATTATATGATTGTATAATACTTTGTATATACACATAATATTTATTAATATGTATATAGAAAAATTATATAATATAATTTCATTAATTATAATTTATATTGATAGATTTATACTTTAAAATTTTATATTTAGAAATTTAAAAAGTGTATATATGTATATTTTAAAATCATAAATATTCATGTTTTGTTAATTTTATAATTTCATTTCTTTAATTATATTTCATATTTTATTAATTATAATTTAATGAAATTGTCACAAATATTTCTACGGAAGAAATCATATATTTCTAAGTTTCATTAATTATATTAATTATAATTACTAAATATTGTGGCAATTACCATAATAATTTCATTAATTATAACATTTGTCATTTTCTAATATTCAAATACATTACCATAATAATAACACAAAAGAAGGAAAGAAAAATTATGAGAATAATCTATATTGTGGCAATTACCATAATAATTTCATTAATTATAACATTTGTCCTTTTTCAATATTTAAATACATTACCATAAAATTATCATAATAATAACACAAAAGAACGAAAGAAAAATTATGAGAATAATATATATATATATATATATATATATATATATATATATATATATATATATATATATATATATATATATATATATATATATATATATTTCACGATGAGTCAGTCTGGTCATGCCCATCCTTTTTCAAGAAACATACAATTGAAATAGTCAATTATTAAAATTGTTTATGATTTCATTTTTAATTTTTGTCTAAATTTAAAGATATATATTTTCAGAGATTATAACATTTTTTGTATTAATTGAAAATTTGAAAGTTTTACCTCACTTGAGATCACTTGTCATTTTATAATTTCAATATTGTGCCATTTTGAACTCATTCATGGTGTATAAATACTCTTTATATGACCATACACAATCCATTGAGACATTTGTACTCAAGAGTAAATTTCTCCTTAAACTAAATTCGGTTGTCAAGAAAATCTCTGTTTGTAT